TTTTTTTTTATTTTATTTTATTTTATTTTATTTTATTTTATTTGATAAATATGCTATCAGTGAGATTTTTATTGGTATAGATAGTTTTTAAGCAATAATTATATATATGAGAGTACAACTAGTCACATATATAACTTTAGATTATCTAATTTAAGTAGTCCACCTGAAGGTTCTACACTAGTTGCTATATATGAAATTTATTTGAAAATTCTCTATTTAAACTTTCTGGCTATATACTATTCCTACTTGCTATCATTTATTACCTAAATCTACCATACTACTTTCATTTTCAAAAGACATTAACAGAGCTAACATGAATTTACAAACTTTATAATTCAAAACCTAGGCTTATCTCAGGTATCTCTTTACTAACTTCCTAATTAATAGATGCTGTGATACTCAAATATACTATGCTATATCCTAATCTAGCTTGCATATTCTCTTATTCGATGTTCGTACAAATCTAGTTTCTACTGTAGTTTTCTACTGAGTTAGTCATCTATATCTTCAGATATCACATAAGATAGACTCTCTTAAATCTGGTTACCATCCAAATTGGTATTGCCAAAAGTCATCTGTACCTCTAGATATCATACAGAACAGATCTTCTCAAATCTAGTTAGCTGCTAAGCCAAGTTAGTATTGCTATATGACCTCATGTAACAGACTTATATATACCTATTCTGCTGATCTTTTTGTATACAGGTTTCCTAATAGACTTATTCATATCCTAGTTACTAATCTTTTCATATGCAGATTTTCTTCTTCAGATCAAATATTAACTGGTATAATTATCAAAATCTATACTATTTCATCTAACTTGAGATTTCTACTATGCAGGTCCCCTGCTCATAGATCCTATTAAGATTTATTTGTATAATGTTATATTCTCCCAAATACCCTGTTACACTTCTAATACCCTAATTGGTATTAGTACAATGTGATTTATAGGGTTACAACCCTAGAAATAAGCAGAGTTTATCATAAGTTGAATACAGATATCTAAGTAATTATTCAATTCTGTCAACAGTGAGATTTGAACTCTAGACCTCTTGCATAGTAGTCTAGTAACCTAACTACTATACTAAGATCACTAGATCTATAAGCAGTTAGTTGCATATTGTCCTTAGTATAAAGTAAATTATAATTCAATCATTTATTTACTAATATAATTATAGCAATATATATTAATATTTTATGTATAGTATCTGTTATTATTTAAATTCAAATACAAAATAAATATTAGAAACAATATTAATTAATCGCATATATATAGTTTCAATAAAAGATAAATTATTATACAAGCTGATGCTGAAATTAGATGATGCTAAAAATTATATGATCTGTGATAAAGATCACAACAACTTGAATATATGATCAAATTAGGTGCATCAATATTGTAAATAACGTGTATCAAATATAAGTGAAAAACCTCACTCAATATACTCCTCAGAACTATATACTTTTAAAAGATGCAATATTACAGTAATGTTAGATTAGTGTTTATAAAGAAAAAAAATATATAGTAGTATTATAATAAGCTAGAATTGAACTATACAATGTACTTAAGGAGACTTCATATAAAAAGTGCATTTATTGGAAATACATCAGCATAAATAAAGTTCATGATACTATATTCATCTAATTTACTCTGCTGTTAAAATTAATATGACATCCAAATAACTTACTAAAGAAAACTAATATTCTACATAGAAGCTTACTATTTATACCACTATTCATCATTGTAAAGATATTTTCTAAAAATTAATACTACTAGAAAAACAAACTAGTAAAAGAGAACTAAAAAACCTGAATACTAATACTAGCAAATATTGAAGTAATAGTACCAGAAAATGACAATACCAGCTAGAGAAAGAATTAAACTACCAATACTGATATAACAATATGATAGCACTAATAGAAGGAAAAGCAAAAACACTAATATTAATAAACAATAATACAGCAACACCAAATGTCAATACCAATGAATGATAGTACCAGACATTAATACTATAAAAAAAAAATTAGTATACAATAAAGAGATATATCAAAAAAAAACTTATTCTTTATGTAAGTACTATTTGTATAACTATATCTGAAAAAAAATAAAATTTTTTTAAAAAAAAATAAAAAAACCAGTAAAAAATACTATTTACATTTCTGTTATATTTAAATATCTAAGATACATATGCAGAGGTGTGTAAGACTCTAGACTTGGCTTTTGATAGTAATGATTTTTCATTGTTTAAATAATGAAAAATCCTAAAATTGTATAAGTTTGGATGCTCTATTTGATAGATTTGATTTTTAGAGCTGAATTAGATCAGATTTTCTACAATCTCTTGCAAGTCATAAAAAAAAACAAAATATTCTAATGAACTAGTAGTACTGTACTGATCCTGATAATTATGAAAATAAAAAATTTGGTCTAGTCTAGCTAAGACTACTTAGTATTAGCTTTCCTATAAAAAATTGTTTGAAAATATAATTTTTAGCTAATTATAACAAAAGATCAAGTAAAAATCATATTTTTTTTTTTTTTAAAAAAAAAACAGCTAATAACTTGAGATTTTGTCTATTAAATCATCTTCTATATTCTAACAAAAAAAAACCTTTGCAAAATTTTGGTATATCTAATACTCTTCCTTGACTCTAATTCTAACTATAAAGATGATTATTTAAAAAACTCTAAAAGTCACACAATCAAAGTTAGAATACAATTCAAATTTGCATGTACTGTACATCTTAGATATTTAAATAGACACTCAAGAGAAAAAACATAAAAGTAAAAATTTGTTCTATGAACTATATATACAAAATACAGATCGATTGTATATGATTAAGTAATATCACAATTCTTCAGAGGAGTAAATTTTTACTTACAGGTTTTCAGTCTTAAGCACTCATCTAAAAATAATTCTATTTTTATTTTCATCTATACTATTAACATTTTAATATATTTTCTTACTTTTTGCATACTAGTTATTTTTTAATTTCAGATACTTATAATCTGGGTCATCAATTAATCTATTTAAACTACTATATTTGTTCACTTTTGTAATTTTACTAAATACTATAAATAGGAGTTATCTAAAGCAGTGTGGAATCATATGATACTAGACCAATTAAATTATAAAATTTTGATGATCTCTAGTGAAGCAAACCAAGCAAAAACCTGAAAAATACAAAAAATAGCAGTCTAAACCTACCTTGAGTAGGTTAATTAAAATTGTTAGAAAGGCAATTTTGTATATATATAACTAACTAAAATCTAACCTATGACTCTAACCCTAAAGTTAATTTAATAAAAGATATATTATAAGAATCTACTTCGCTTTAGATATTCCTAATAAATAGATTAATTACTTTCAATATACTTCTAATTTCTCTAAACTAGTAAATAAAATTTTTTATAGAAAAAGTATATATTATTTTATTTAAAAATTTTAAAATGTAAAATTTAAAAATAAAAAAAAATTAAATTTAAAAAATTTAAAAATAAAAAAAAAATTAAATTTAAAAAATTTAAAATTTAAAATTATAAAATTTAAAAATTTTAAACTTTATAAAAAAAAAAAAATTCTATTGTATAACTTTAACTCTTTTTATAGGAAGTGGTATATCCTTGCTATTTACTTCAACAATTGCTATATAGTTATTAAAAGCTAATTATTTAAATAAACTCTCTTGTGAAAATATTGGTTGTAGTTTTCATTTTTAGATTTGAAGATGTTTGTCATGATCTATGCAATGATAACCTTAGTATCTAGTTTAATTATATTATTTGGTAACTTTTTTCAGTGAACACTTCTATATTAGCATATTTTTTCATGATATTTTTCTAATGTGTCATTTACTAATTGTTAAATCCTTGATATTTGCAAAATATGTTCTTCAATAGCTTTTGCCACAGCTTCTGCAGTTGATTCTGCTGCTATATCTGCTATTGTTGTATCTGCATCTGCTATTGCTATATCTGCTACTACTACTTCTGCTATTGTTTTTGCTACTTCTGCTGTTGCTGCTTCTGCTGTTGCTGCTTCTGTTGCTACTTCTACTGCTACTTCTGCTACTGTTTCTGTCATTGCTTCTGACTGAAAAATGCTAGGTGTTTTATAAACACTATATATTTTCTATTCAAACTTAATCTCATGTAGTGTACGACTATATGCTCTATGAACTGATAAATTATATGATATAACAAATATATCTAAAATGTTAATCTAGTCTTTTTGTTGTAATTGTTCATTATCATCCTATAACAATTTTGTAAACTCATAGCTAATAGTTCAGTTAAAGTATTCTACTTGTATTTAGGTTTTCAAGTAGTAGGAACATCTATGTTTAATTATAATATTTAGTATTTTATATATTTAAATAACAATTTGTCCTATGAACTTTTTACTATTATCACTTTGCATAATAGCTGATAGCCTAAAAATTTTAAAAATATCTTTAACAAAGTGCATTATGACAGTACTATTTTCTTTATTTTTTTATAGGAATTGCGATCAAATACTTAAAAAAAATGTATATACATGTAAGCAACTATGCAAATCCATAATTTACTTTGACAAACTCCTGAAAATTATAAGATTAATTTAGATATTGTAATAATATTTCTATTATTATTATATTTTATTATCTAGTTATATTTATTATTATATTTTATATTT